AAAGGTTTAGTTTTTATTACTTTTTTCACTTTTTAACTTAGATATTTTTATCACACTTTAACCAACCTTTCAAGATAAGCCAAGCACTCTTCCTGTCAGATTTTGCATTGTGGAAATGAAGGAAAAGAAGGCATGAACCGACTTGCACATGTAAAGGAAGAATAAGACACAATTTTTGACTTTTTCAAAGTATAAAGTAACTTAATCTTCATTGGTTTTCACTTTACACATCACACACTTAAACTTTTGTGACCAACCAATCACACAGTAACATAATTGCACATCACAAATAGAAAACAAAGCAAGACATTCATCTTTGACCAAAGATTAAGCCTATTGTAAAGTTAAAGCTTACTTTTCAAACTATTTAACTTTTTAATTAATCAATCTTTGACCTAATTTTTTAAATTATTCTACACATCATTTAATTAAATTAGACACATATAACCCTTAAATTTATCAGAGAATTTAACTAGACTATCAGAACTTGTTAGGCATGAATTGTTTCCTCACGTCCATTATCATGATAGTTTCATGATTCAACTGTTGGACAGGTGGCTTCAATACTCAAGAGGGAGGTGAATTGAGTTTTACAAAATCTTTTCGCAAAGTACCTCCTTTTATATTTTAAAGACTATTTCTTCATTAAAGTGATTTAATAAGGAAAAATCTAAGTGTAAGAGCAAGTGTAGTGATCAACAAAGTAAGCAAGCGAATATATAATGACAATCCAAAATGCAATTTTAATACTTAAATAAAGATATTAATGTTAGAGAAATTGCAAACTAGATGTATCCTGGTTCGGTCACCACCACCGTGACCTACGTCCAGACTGAAGTCGCTCGATCAATTATTTTCACTAACTATCAAGCTTCAGGGTGCTTGACAAACCACTACAACCTTTCAAGACATTGGGCTCTTGATGCCTTACACTTTTTCACTCCAAATTTTCTTAGGAATTTGGTGATGTAACACCCCGTATATATCCGGTATGTTATCATATCATCGTATTAAGCTGCGCTTAATTAAAAATGCAGAATATCTTTTTCTTTTCAATTATGATGTCATTAATCATTACCAACTTGCTTACTTAATCATTTAATAAAACATTGCCTGTATGTAAATTACAAAAGACAGTTAACTGAAATACCTCATTAAACTAAACAACATAAATATGTCTCTAGTCACGGTACTACAACACGTAGATCGAACAACCCTGATAGTTTATACAACTCAGTTAAACTAAAACATAACAGAAAACAAAGTGGCATGGACAAACCCCATGCTCACCCAAATAAGGCACAAGCCCAACAGCAGTCTCAACAGCAGCAACATAATAAAAGCAAGCTAAAACATAACATCAGCAGATATATCCAGCATCCAACCATGTCAGCATATAAACAGTAATATCATCAACTAAGCTCTGGCCTCCTGCCGCCAGAGCCATCAGCCCCCAAGTTACCTGATCCTGAAATAAGCGCCCCAAACGTGGGGTGAGATCTCTAAACAAGAAATCTCAGTAAGACAAGGGTCCTCAAAGATCTTCCACCCCAAGCTCACTTACATGTGCAATATAAGTTCAAAAGCATTTAACGATATAAGTTCCAAAACTATGTAGTGCAACAGATATTCATGCCATGTGTGTTTAACTATTCTACTGGCCAGAGAAATGCAGGAATACGTCTATACGTACATGTAGTACAAGGAACACCGCTTGCACCTCACCCACAGCCTCACCATATTGTATGTACTACATACTTAGGCTTACCGTATAGGTGGAACACCACATGCATATCATAAAGGCACTAGCATATAACAGCTCAATAGCATTTCCAAAACATCAAAAGCATGTAACACAACATGCATATGACCATACCTCCATGGGACATGGTGGAACCACAACATGGCTAAACCGAGGACACGAAAGGTTACCTTGCAAGCTCACAATCCAATGCCAAGAGTCCACACAGCTCAAGGTCAACACACATCAAAATCACCATCTGATTTGGACCAGCAATCATATCAATAACATAGCTCACAAGCATAAACATAAAGACTACATTGCTTGTTACGTTTTACGTCTTAAGGCATCCCACAAAGCCACAAGCCCTTAATTCCTTGATTTTGACTTAGTTAAGTATTTATAGAAGTTCAACTCGATCAAAATAGGGTCCACAAACCCATAACTCCAATCTGTATGAAAAGTGCCTTGCTGTCCTTCAAAAACCCTGAATATTCGGATATATGTCGGGGGCATATCGGGATATCCATATACGGATATCTCCAAGCCCATATCCGGATATCAATATCCGAATATCATATCCGTATATTTCGCGACAGAATGTAGTTTCTGCATTTCGCGAGATATCACTCCCAAGGTTCCATTTTATTAAAACTGAAGTTGTAATTCTTTACCAAAAATTTTGAGATTTTAATATGTTAAACTAGACATCACAAGCTTTCCAACGACATATCTTATGTCTCAATCGAAGTTGTATAACTCCGGTTATGATTTTCGCAAAGTGACTACTGCCAACTGAATTTCCAGCAACCAAGATGCGACTTTAAACTACCACTGAGATAAAAACACTTATCCAACAGCTAAGAAATTTTACAGGGTTGTAGCCCTATGTGTTAGCTACACATAGATCCAAACGGAACTCGATTTGGAGCTCTGTAGCTCAAGATATCAAATTTTTACCAAAACAGGTTCGTTGTTCTCCCCATATCTGGATAATTCACGACAGAGGCCACAAACAGCAGCCTAGCACGAAAATATCCATTTAAAATTCCATCTTTCACCTAGATACAACTATCCCATCGATTTAGCATACATTTTAACTCTTAGGTTCATCAACCAACGTTCAAATTATCAAAATTCATAGTTTCACATCTTCAAATCATGTTATATTCATGAAAACACAAAGGGAAGCGTTGAGGCATATACTCATGAGCTTCAAAACAGCAAAAGGAGTGCTTTTGGAGCTCTCTAAGAAGCTCCTACAATCTGACTTCACCAGGCACACGAATTTAGTACACAAAGATTGGTTCTTTCTCACCGAAGGTCACCACATGGACCTCAAAATGCCATGACAAGGCTTCTTTCAACTCGAAACCCCCAAGTCTCTCAACAGCCCAAAGCACACCAAGACAGTGGCCACAACTCAGAAACAAGCCCTCACACTCAACCCCAATGATCACTCTTACTCATCTAAGGTATTTTGGTGAAGAAAAGTGGAAGAAAATGGCCCTTGGCTCATGAAATGGTGATGAGAACCAATGGAACAGTACCTATAGAAGCTGGTCAGCCTCCCTTCTCACGTAAGAATGCAAGTGCGTAGGGTTTTGTGCTTAACAAGAGTATATATAGGCCACTTAAGGATTAAATACACAGTATTAGCAAAAATAGCTACGCTTAGCATTTTAATCCCAAACTTAGGATTCTTAACCTACTCAATTTTACACGAATTATCATATTTTTCTTATATTTTTCGGAGCACCTTTCAGGTACGCGCTTTTCATAGCCAGTATCAGTTTCTGGCATCAGTTCTCATTATTTTGACCTGAAACTCGTTTTACAAGTCCTATATATTATTCTAGTAATATTCATGCATTTATTATAATTTTCCGGGATACTTTTTTGGTACGCATTTATACCGATTAGCAGAACCGGTATTTGCACTTTTCTTCTGAAAAGCAACTTTCAGCATTCTTAATCACTTATCATAATTATTAAAGCCTCTTAATAATTATTAGGGTCAATTATGGAATTATTTTCTATTTTCACATAATTAATTAGTTAATTGCCTTAATTAACGGTGCAGGTTCTTACAGGTGACCTTTCAAGTGTATAGGATCACTCCCCTAACTATTCAAGAAATCAAATGGAGGTGTTTAAGCAATAGCTAAGTACTCCCAAAGTACAAATAATACAAGTTGAAGAACTATGGGTGTTGACACTCTCACAAGAATAAAGCTCAAGAATGATTTATGATCAAAATGATAGAAAGTAAGTAAATGATGTGAAATAAAGCAAGAACTATGATCAAGAAGTGTGTCCCATCAAGGGGAATAATGGTCACTATTTATAGAGGGCCCCTATGACCCTTTGCACACTCATTTTCACAAAACTAGCCATTTATAGCCGTTATTTTCGTCCTCTGGTGCAGTAGGAATCGATTCCCAATGAGTGGGAATCGATTCCCAACCTTTCAGATGAGTGGGAATCGATTCCTTATAACAGGGAATCGATTCCCAACCTTTTAGAAGGGTTGGAAATGTGTTTAAAAATATTCCAAAATGTTTTCAAATATGTTTATATGAAAGCGTAATATTATAAATCTTCTGTGTAAGCAAATGATAATTTAATGCATGTATTTTAACAAAAATTCGTTTGAGCTTATTCATGCATGAAGTTAGTTACCCTCACAATTAATTCTAAGTTCTAAAGTATATTACTTGATAATTCTTGGACTTAGATTCTTCTCTTGAAGCTTGAATCTTGAAGGAATTCATGATCGTTGAATGTTTGTTTCTTTTTTATTGTTACAACTTGAAGCCTTCCTTTCATGCTTGTTTGTCATCATCAAAATCATTGAACCTTTATATTCTTTACGTAGAGTGCATTGGTTCCACAATCTCCCTTTTTGATGATGACAAACTCAAATTGAGAAAATGATTAGTATAACATGTATTTCGACAAATATAGTATTGAAACTCCCCCTTAATATATGATTGATAAAGAAAGTGGAAATCTAGGTTTCATGTAATCTCCCTTTTATGTTGGAATTTCATTCTCCCCCTTTTTGCTTTAATATATGCCTATGGTTTTCTCAATTTACGTATATTTCTCCCCCTTTGGCAACATCAAAAAGCATGAAAGTATATGTAAAAACCTTAAAATAAGCCATGCAAGAAACTAAAGGGAAAGTATAATAATCCATAAAAAGTCATAATAGTCCATAATCTAATCAACCATAGTCCATAAAGGTAGAGTCCTAGAGATGCAAAATATCCAAAGTAGCATAGCAAAATATAAGCATAATGTAAGTCCAAAAGCATAACAAATAAAATTAGGGACTAGTCATCAGAGCCAGGTGGAGGTAGAGACGAAAGAGGAGGAATGTCAAGGTGGTCCTTAATGCGCTTGAGGCGGTACTCCATGTTAGTCTGACGAGCCTGAAGAGTGGAGATGCCAGCCCCTAAAGAATCAAAGCCAGACTGTATGGTGGTCTTCAATGATGTAAGGTAAGTCAAGAGAGAAGCCATGGAATGGTCCGCAGAAGAAGAAGCATCAGCTGGGGCAGTATCCTGTGAAGGATCGTCTGCAGGAGTGTCCTGATGAGGTGCAGCTGCTGTAGGAGGATCTGTTTGACGACCCCAGACACCACCAACTTTCTTTATCTGCATTTGAGCAAGCTGGTGTTCTCCAAAGGAGTGCAAGTTTTCTTTCATGATCTCACCCTCGTCGTGAATCTGCTGAAATCACAAAATGCGATAAATAAGAGTGGCATACGGAAGAGGACCGGAAGATTGGGCTTTCATCATCATGGAGCAGAAGTAAAGTGGCCAGTTGAAGTCTATGCCAGATCGAATGACCCTTGGATACAGAATGTGAGTGACAACATAGTGAAGAATCCGGCTGTCCATAGTGATATTAACACTGAATTTGAATTTCGTGATATGGACACCAGGTTCCACAATTGGTTAAATAAAGGCAGATCTATCAAACTCAGGGTACACGTCAGGGTCTGTACGGCCGACATAGGGACAACCAATCAGATTAGGCCACTCAGTGGGCAGGACAATGATGGATTTCCCTTTAATCTCATCTTTTGGAGTGTTGTTCTCAAAGGACATAGTACAATAGAATGCTCTAATCAGATTCTCCACATACTTCTCTTTTAAAATGGACATTTGGAGCAGATGGTTACTGCTCAATAGATCACAGATTTCAAAACCTTCAGCGTCCCAAAACTTGATATCTAGATACTTTGGCTCGATGATCTTTTCTGTTGCATACTTCTTCTTGAAAGTGGAGTATTGTTTTGCAGTTGTAAAAATATCTTCCATGAAGAGCAGTTCTTTTGCGTTTTGGGTTGGAAGATTCAGCCATTGGAACAACCTGTGAAACAAGGATAAAGTCAGACGTCGATGATCAAAAGATTAATAAGGCATGGATTTAGGCATGTTAGGCAGCAATCATGATTGACAATGCAGCATATGAGTTTAGGCAGCATATGAGATGAGGTAGCAATCATTAAAATGTATGACTAGCATAAACAGGATTTAGGCAAAATAGGATTCAGCCAAAATAGACAGTTGGGCAGCAATAGGTATTATACATATCATACAGGACATCATAATTCATGGCATGAATTTAGGGAGCATATGAAGTGAGGCAAGGCAGCAGCCAGTAAAAGGCATGTATTCGTAACAAGGCTGATGCATTAATATGGCACAATCAAGTTAGATGCATCATGCATATTCCATCTACACTCACGAATGTGGAAATGGGAAATTGATAATGGAATGGGGACATCAGAGATGGGCAGCATATCAGCTAATAATCATGCATGGATGATGGTTCAAAGCAACATAATTAGCTAATAATTATACTAAAAAATATTTACAGAGAGGGCAAACAGAAAAAAAAATTCGGTCCACAGAAGAATATTTACAGATGGTATGAACAGATGAGTACCTAAATGAAAACAGATATGAAAACAATAAATAATGCAGGCATGGGCAGATCAGAAAGTGCATCAAAAGGAACAAAATGCAAGTCAGAATGTGCACATGAAAAGGAATAATAGTATGACAACAGTTAAGAGATGCAAGATGAATAATATTTTCCACTCTTAAGGAACCTCTACTTAGTGGCGCATAATCAATCAACTGAGGTTTGGGGTACAATCAAAGTTAAAATTAACACCTGGATAAATTGACAGAGAGCTAAAATGACGGTCAGAAAATATGAAAGCAGTAAGAAAGCCCTTAACATGCAATGTAATCGGATGGGGAGTATTTGAATGCAAACAGAAATGAATGGGGACTGTGCATTATATGAGACCCTAAAAATGCAGAGAAGAATGGAAGATAGGGCACCATGGGAAAGCGAAAAACCGATCATGAATGCAATGCAAAATGCGAACTGAGATTAAAGGGCAAAGTCAAGGGATGAGCCAAAAAGGAAATCTAAGTTGCAATGCAAACCAATAAACTAAAATATAGAACCGAAACTGATCCTAGGAGTAGATATGAAGGGATAGCACAAATTTGAGAGAAGGAATCAAAAGTTAGGAGACTTACAACACCGGAAGACGATTGTTCGAGGGGATTGTTCGAGGAAGGTGCTAGAGATAGAAAAAAATGAAAGACCTTACCACACCAGTGAACTGAAGAACAGTGGTGGTGAGCCCTAATCACACGGTTTCGAGCACGGGTGGTAACGTTGGAGTTGGGACTCTTCTGATTTGAACGCTTGAGTTGGTGTTTTAAAGTATGACAAATCATTGGGAATTGATTCCCATGAGATAAGGAATCGATTCCTTATTTGAGAAATCCATTTCCATGAGGCAGAAGAAGAGCAGGAATCGATTCCTTGATAACTGGGAATCGATTTCCAAGGGGGAGGAATCGATTCCTTCCTCATTCAGTGAGCGAAAAATACATGGAATGTGTATCTAGTAATTAAATACAGACTATTCTTGAACCATTTTAAGGCATATGAGATGTTTAGATAAGCATGAATGATTCTTAACAAGATGAATATTGATTTTAAGCAAGTTGATGAGGACATAGGAGGTGGCATGACCAAGACAATAAACTTGGAGGACATACAAGGTCTTGGAGGCCCAATGACAAGAGCAAAAGCTAAAAAGGCTAAAGAGGCTCTAAATCTCTTGGTGACCACTTTACTTGAGACAAGCCCAAGTCTAAAGGAAGAAGAGCCCAAAATGATACACTTAATTAAAATTGAAGACCTTGAAGAATAAGCCTCAATGGATATGCATGAAGGCTTTATTTTACTTGGCCCAAATTCTGCACTTAATTTTTTATTTTCTTATATTTAGTTAAACTTTTTGTAATAAGGCTTATTGGGCTGGATTATTGGGTTGTCTATCTTCTTTTATGTGTAAGTACTTTTAGGTTAAACTCAATATGGTTGTTGCCCACTATATAAGGGAACACCATGGCTTTTGAAGACAGATTTGGAATATCAAGTTAACCTATTTTGGTGAGACTAGTTCTCTTGGGTTCTTTTGAGAATCTCTGAACTTATCAAGGGCATCAATCCTTGTGGCGTTCTTGGGCTTATCAATTCTTTCGAATTGTGGCGCCTACCTATAATCCTTAAACTCCAATTTCGTTCTATATTATCTTGGATTCATATCTCTCGAATTCCTTATCCTTTTCCGGTGATTCTTGTGCCAAAATCGTGATTCAGGAAGCCATCTTTCACCTCGTTTTGGAATCACCCAAATCCGAGGTCTGTAGCGTGAGATACGCTCTGTTCTTAACAGGTCGTGTTGGTGGATGAATTTGGGGTTAGAATTCCATCCCTAGTAGATCCATTCCTCCATTCCTATTGGGGATCATATCATGTGGTATCAGAGCTCAGTTCTAGGATTGGAATTGGGTTTGATTTTTCTCCATTGTTTCCATCAATTCTGATCACACATTTGGTAACCCTAATCCCTAGTATTTGTGTTTTTAATTTTGAATTGTGCAATTCTGTTTTAGCCTTTGTTGTTGGTTCCTAATTTGTTCCTTTGATATTCTGTTTGTTTCAATTTCTTGTTGTGTTCATAATTTCTGCACTTGTGTTCTTAAGGTTCGTCCTATGTTCATCATTGTTCTTGATTTTTAATCCTTTCAATCCTTGTTCCTTGAGTAGTATGCTGTTAGTGTGTTAAATAATAGCTTGTTTTGTAGAGAATTCAATCAAATTCAGTTTAGCATTACTGCAATCTGAATTTTTCATTCCAAAATTAAAAATTCCATTTTATTGAAGCATCAGGTTTTATAAAAAAAAAAAAGAGTTGAAAAAATATATATATATGCTATACAGCTACTTGTTACACACTACTACTCTCAAATCAGGTCCAAAGTGTCTTCCTTGAATAATTCCTTCAATTTGTTTTGGTTTTCTTTGATGCATCCTTAGGGTACCATAATCCCCTTTGTGAAGTGCCTACAAGATATCTCCTAATTCTTTTTACGGCACTTAAGTGTGATTCTTTAGGATTAGCTTGAGATCTAGCACACATTCACACACTAAACATGATATTGGGCCTACTTACGGTTAAGTAAAGAAGTGAGTCGATCATACCTCGATATTTGGTAATGTCTATGGATTTACCTCATTCAACCTTGTCTAAAGAACAAGATGTACCCATGGGAGTGTCAATGGCCTTGGAGTTATCCATTCCAAATTTTTTGAGTAACTCCTTGCAATATTTAGCTTGATTGATGAATATCCCATCCTTTTGTTGCTTTATTTGGAGACCAAGAAATAAGTTTAGTTATCCCATCATAGACATCTCAAACTCGCTTTGCATAAGATTGGCAAACTCTTCACAAAGGTGAACGTTAGTGGCACCAAAGATGATATCATCAACATAGATTTGTGCAAATAATAGATAATCACTTTTCTTCTTTATAAAAAAAGTTGTGTCCACTTTTCCTCTTGAAAAACCTTTTTCTAAAAGAAATTTGCTTAGTCTTTCATACCAAGCTCTTGGAGCTTGTTTCAAACCATATAAAGCCTTTTTGAGTTTGAAAACATGGTTAGGTAAATCATGATCTTCAAAGCCTGGAGGTTGATCAACATATACTTCTTCTTGAATATATCCATTTAAAAATGAACTTTTAACATCCATTTGAAAAAGTTTAAAATCAATTATACATGCAAAATGCAAGTAATAATCTAATAGCTTCTAATCTAGCAACGGGAGCATAAGTTTCATCATAATCAATACCTTCCTCTTGATTGTATCCTTTAGCAATAAGTCTAGCTTTATTTCTAGTTATTATTCTGTTTTCATCAAGCTTGTTCCTAAAAACCCATTTTGTTCCAATTATTGGATAATCATTTGGTTTTGGTACAAGTTCCCAAACTTGATTTCTTTCAAATTGATTTAGTTCTTCTTGCATTGCCAAGAACCAATGTTCATCAATAATTGCTTCATTTATGGTCTTAGGCTCAATTTGAGAGACAAATGCTAAATGATTACAAATATTTCTAATTGAGTTTCTAGTAGTTACGCCTTTGGGTATATCACCAATTACCACATCAATGGGATGTCCTCTAGCTGCTCTCCAATCTTGTGGTAGATTGTTTCTGTCATTGATTTGTTGACTTGGTGTTTCTTCATTATTTGCTTCCTTTTCTGTTTGCCTTTCATCTTCCTCTTTGCCATCCAAGTTTATGTTTTCCATGCTTTCTATAAGATCATCATCACAAGATTCTTTTCTAGGCAAGGCATTGTTAGTCTCATAAATACAACATGAATAGACTCTTCAATGACCATTGTTCTTTTATTATAGACTCTATAAGCTCTACTTGTGAGTGAATAGCCTAGAAATATACCTTCATCGGCTTTAGAGTCAAATTTGTCAAGGTTTTCTTTTCCATTGTTTAAAACAAAACATTTGCAACCAAAGACATGAAAATATGAAATATTGGGTTTTCTTCCTTTGTAAAGTTCATAAGGATTTTCTTCAAAATAGGTCTAATTAAAGCACGGTTCATAACATAACATGCGGTGCCAACGGCTTCTGCCCAAAAATATTTTGGAAGATCATTTTCATTTAACATGTTTCTAGCAAGTTCTTCCAATACACGATTTTTCATTTCTACAACTCCATTTTGTTGTGGAGTCCTAGGAGCGGAAAAATTATGTTCAATACCATTTTCTTCACAAAAGGTTTCAAAATCTTGATTTTCAAATTCTCCACCATGATCGGTTCTAATTGAAACAATATTTAAAGATTGTTCATTTTGAATAAACTTGGCTAGTCTCTTGAATGATTTAAAAGCATCGCTTTTATATGTAAGAAATAAAGTCCAAGTATAGCGAGAATAATCATCCACAATGACCAAAGCATAGTAATTGCCACCAAAGCTCGTTGTTCTAGTTGGTCCAAAAAGATCCATATGCAAAAGTTGTAAAGATTTTGTGGTAGAAACAATATTTTTTGATTTAAAAGAAGCCTTTACTTGTTTTCCCATTTGACAAGCATCACAAACTTTATCTTTTTCAAATTTGAGCTTTGGTAACTCAATCACTAGGTCTAATGAAATCAATTTGTTTAATTGACTCATGCCTATGTGTGCTATTCTTCTATGCCATAACCAAGACTCATCTTCCTTACTAATCAAACATTTATCGTCATTTTAAAGCATACCATCTAAGTCTATCATATAAATATTATCCACTCTATGACTAAGAAACTTAACTTGCCCATCAATTAGACTTTCGATTTTACAAAAAATAACTATAATTTTTATCACATAATTGACTAATGCTAAGCAAGTTATGTCTAAGGCCTTCAACAAGTTAAACATTTTCTATATAGACATAGGAGGAGTTACGAACTTTTCCAATACCAAGTATATTTCCTTTGTTGTTATCTCCATAGGAAACATGTCCATGCTCTTTCTTTGTGAATGATTGGAATTTAGTTACATCTCCCGTCATGTGACTTGAGCAACCACTATCTAAGTACCACTTGGAGCTTTTAGCCTTTAAACAAACCTACATCACAAAGTCAAGATTTAATCTCTGGTACCCACACTTTGTTGGGTCCTTGTTAGTCTTGGGCTTAGTTCCCTTGGGAACCCACACTTTCTTTTGCCCAATAATACCATTCTTTCTAAGTTTACATGTGGAAGCACTATGACCTTTTCCACCACAATGAAAACATTTAATGAATGGGCTACTTATCATGTAGGATGGAGAAATGAAAAAGTTTTTATATGATTTTTCATGAGTATTAATGTCAAGGCCTAAACCGGATTTGTTGAACATGCATCTTTGTTTACCAAGCAATACATTTAAGTTATCTCTTCCACATGTGAATTTGCTTAGAATTTCATTGTTTAATTCTTTACATGATGTACATGATGATGAAGATGCATGATAATTTGAAGATAGGTATTTGATACAACTAGTGCTAGCATCAAGTAATTTGAGAGTTTCATTTTCATCTTTCAAATCTTTCACTTTCTTTTCTAAAGACTCAATTTGTTTTTCCAAAGAACTAATAGTTTTTCTTGATGCTCTTAGAGTTTTAACATGTTTTAGTGTTTCATAATGCATTTCGTCAAACATGTCAGACTACTCATCATATGAAGGGGAAATAGTAGAGCAAGATGAGTTTACCTCGGTTTCAGATTCATTTTTGTTCTCATTTGCCATTAGACATATATGTTGAGTTCCTTTGCTT